AAAATGTCAACTTTTAGGCAATTTTAGCAAAAGCATCCGCTAAAAACTTGGAGATTCTAAAAATTCACATTTTTTTCAAGTGGCTGAATATTGTTGTGTGGTGAATCGCTAGGAATATTTTTTAGAGAGTGGGTTTTTAGAGCTCTATGTGGTGCTTTCGGCCTAACTTGTCGGTATGTTGATTTTCTTTGCATTACACGTTTCGCTCACTGATGGTTAGGGACGTCGAGGTTGAGTGACGTTTTGACTCTTATGATGATGAATTCACTTACATAGAACTGCGATTTATTCAAAGCACCATATTTAACTCTAAAAGACCTTTCCAGCGACATATCACACGATTATATTCAGCCTCTTGAAGAAAATGGGAATAATTTGAATATGCAAGTTTTGACAAATTAATTTTTTTACGAAAATGGCTCAGAAAACCAAATATACTGCGTATATGGAAAGGTCTTAAGCTTCCCTTTCTAATGACACCATTCTTAATATATCATAGGCGCTCTGTCACTTTGAAAAATACTCGACCGAAGATGACCAAACATCAGAAAATTCAAATTTTTAGGTGAAATTTTCTCTGTGTAGTCGACAAAAATTTTTTAAAGTAAATTGATGCACCTCAGAGAAGAGTAAAATAAACCGTAACGAGAGATTTCCCTTGCCACATAGGGATGTTTCTGGGAGGGGAGGGGGGGGGGGGGGGGGGAAATTGCCTAAATTTAACATTTTCAATCTCAACTATGATGCTGAAATCTCATTCAAACTCCAATGATATATGAAGCGAATTGTTCAACTGTTCCTCCTTTTGAAGCTATTGCACGCCCTGGTATGATGAAAGGCTCCCTGGGATGGAAATTTATCCGTCCATGGGAGTTTTCCGTTTACCTCCAAAGTTCGTGATATCTCGTTAACCGCAGTCGATTCCTTTTCTCCTGGGATGCTAGATTGATTACAATCGCTCTGAGATTTTATCCCAAAATCCGAGATGGTCGAGCGCATTGCTTGGTTGAGTTCGTATGGGATGACCTTGATGTAAAGTTCATCCCTGTATTTGTACAGGAAACATATGAATAGTAAAGGAGTCAATGTAGAGTTATCAAGAAATTTGTCTGATAGCAGTCGGAGTTAAAATGGGGGGAATGCATTTTCCTAATGAGAATTTTGAAGGGAAACGCAGTAACATCGAGTTAGAGAGAAATTTGAGTTAATGAGGTTCGAGTTATCGAGAGTTGAATGTATATATCTACATTTACTACTGATATAAAATAAATCTTGTTTAGTTGTGTACTTTTGATGGTAGCCTCTCATTCATTTTCTGCCCGAAAGAAGGAGTAACTTTGAAAAATCAATTCCAGAGGTGTCCGACGAATAAAAGGGAAAGCAAAAAGTTGAGGTGAAGGATTGGTCGAAACAGATCGAACCACATTATTTGGTACGAATTGCGGTCTGTCCCAGTTTAAAAATCCCAATTGGAATTTTCCGGCTGGATCAAAGCTGTACAATCAGGCCATTTTTGTTGGCAACGAGCTGGAAAATGCCAGATGCCGACTTTTTTACAGTTGGAATTTTCCAATTGGATTGCAGCTGGTTTTAATAGCTGTTTCCAGCTTGGAAGGTTCAGATAGAAATTTATACGGAGGATCCTCCGGTTGGAATACGGCAGAATGTAGAAGCTGTTATTCAGCTGCTTCCGTAGACGGACCTCCGGGAAGAATAGCCAACAAAACCATTCTCAATCCACCTGAAATATTGCTACTAGAAACCAATCTGGATCTGACTTGACATTCCAGCCGTTTCCCAGCTGGAATGGGTCTGAATTTACTGCTGTGGTCCAGCTGGGAATTATAGCCGTTTCCAACTGGAATTTTATGCTTGGATGTATGCTTCTTTCCACTTTCCATCCGCGACGTGAAACATACCTAACTTAAAATCCCGGATGGAAACCGCTATAATTTCCAATTGGACCACAGCTGGAAATTCCAACCCCCAACTGGGTAGAAGCTGGAGAGTAAGTCAGATTCAGATTCCTAGTTGCAATATCATTGGTGGATTGAGAATGTTTTTGTTAGTTATTCTTGCCGAAGATCCATCTATGGAAGTAGCTGAATTTTATCTGTAAATTCAGCTGTTTTTCAGCTGTCGAGTCCACAGTATACAATTTTAACTGAAAGTTTCTAGCCGGAAACAGCTATTAAGACCAGCTGCATCCCAGTTTGGATTTTAAACTGGGTGACAATCTCTTGGCTTGAGAAAGACATGAGGACGCTCTCTGTCCTGTACAAGTAATAGGTATTACGGCTATTCTCAACAGAACGATGAGAAACAGGAAGATGTCTCGCCAATGAAGGTGCAGAAAAGGTTACTCCAAAAGTCAACATGCAAGTTCATAGTATCAATAAAATTCTGGCTTCAAGATAAATGTCAAGAAAGTGAAGGGTAGAAACTGTGCGATCAGAAATTCCCCCAATGCCACACAAGAAGAATCGTGTTTTCATCCTTCTCGGCCAGGTACCAGAAAGGGAGGGGGAATCTTTGGAACGACCCAGACAACATTTTTCGTGGGGTCCACGTTGGCCCAATATAGTCCTCCAATGTCAGGCTACGTAGTTCCCACGTAAAAGTGACCGTTGGGCTAATGTGGGGTAAACGTTGGCAGTAAGTAGAAGAGCATCATATAACCCACTTACCCAAATAGCTGGTACTTGCTCTATATTGGCCATCATTCATCATTTCATACCATATACTTAAATTCATTACGCAGAGGAGGTAATCCCATCCCAAAAATGTTATCTGGGTACCTTGGAGATTGACAAGTCGAAACATCCCGGATAACTTTTTTCGTGGGGCCCACATTGGTTCAATGTGGTCCTCCATCGTCAGAACAAGTTGGCGCAATGTACGAGGTAGGTTATTCACGTAGGAACCACATTAAACTGACCGTTCAGTCAATGTGGGGCCAACGTTGTTAGGAAGTTGAAACGCAACATTTAACTCACTGGAAGTAGCTGTTTTTTTTTTCTCTATTTTGGCCATCATCATTTCGTACCATCTATATAATAAAATCTACTGAGGTCCGTAGTGGTGGTGGTCGGAGATCCATGGCATGCGCATGCGCAGACATGACACACATGCGCACAGAGCGATCACATGTGCTCTCCCATAGGTAATAGGTTCACCCAGCGTTGGCCAAAGGCCACTAACGTTTGGAAACGTGCGCGGCGGGTTGCGATGTCTGCAGAGCAGTGTGGGGCCATCAATTAAAGCCCTCACACCACATTGACCTACAACGTTACGATTTAAGGTAACGTCTTGATCTTTGGGCTGCCCTTCATCTTCGCTCGGCGTCAGTTCCCCGTCTGCCCTGGCTTTGACACGATGATTAACGAAGTGCAGGGGCAGACCTTCGAGAAATTAGGGGTGTTTTTGCTTCTCCCTGTCTTTTCACATGACCGATCAGAGGTGGATCCAGGGGTGCGGGGGGGCATGTTATATATAACATTCATTGCCTTTAAATCCTTCCGTGCTTTTTGCACAGGCTATCTACTAGTATACTTAATTTCATTATCCAATGGAAGTATCTGTAGTACGGAGTCTGTACTATGTACAACAACCTGCCACCTAGTTTAACACGTTGATCCCCACGGTCATGTTGGCCCCGGTAACTTTCCTGGGCCAAAATACATTTTTACATCCCTTGGAGAAGGTGAAACGAGGGGGGGCGCCGGTGCACCCCATGGCGCAGGAAAAGGGTCTTATTGAGGCGCACCGGTGTGCCTCATGGCGGTCAACCTGTTAAAATCCCAACTGGAATATTCCAGCTGGGCCAAATCTGTAAATTCGGACCATTTCCAGCTGGCAAAGAACTGGAAAATAGTAGGTACATGTTATTTTATAGCTGGAATTTTCCAACTGGAATGCAGCTGGTTTTAATGGCTGTTTCCAGCTGGAAATTTCCAGTTAGAATTTCATACAGAGGACCCGACAGTTGGAATTCAGCTGTTTCTGTAGACGGACCGCCGACAAAAGTATTAAATAAAAAAGCACAGAGGTTCTCATTCAGCTAGCGATATTGCTACTAGGAACCAATCTGGATCTGTCTACTTTCCAGCTGCTGCCAAGTTGGAATGGGTCCGAGTTTACAGCTGGGATCCAGCTGGAAATTATAGCTGTTTCCAGCCGGAATTTTAAGCTGGGCATGGACATATTAATATGTCTTAGGTAGGCAGGAGATGAAGAACGGTACAGACGTTGATCTTATGGAACTGAAATACTAACTACAGTACATGTGAGAAGATGGACGACCTCACACAGAAAAATGGAGTGTCCGCTATGCGGAAAGTTGTGGAAATAACATTTTGAGGTTTTGGACATTCCCATTGTGAATTAAATCACCTTAACGAGTATGGAACTCTATGCTTTCAAAAGGAGTCCCATCAGGGATATGAGCTTGTTTATGGCCTGGGCTCCATGAATCTGTCTTGAATATGTGGATAACAAATGATGAAGTGTCTGCGTTTTTTATTTCTATAATGAGACTAAGCGAGACATATGGTGAGGTACTATTCAATCCTGTGAAGGACGATTCAGGTAAAGTGAGAAGGGAACTTCTGTGTAGTATGCGAAAAGCGAGACTTTTAGACCCTTACCTCCATCTAGTGGCCTGGCCACTAGAAGGAGGTAAGGGTCTCATCAGTTCTCCACCAGGAGTTCTGCAGTTCTCAACGTGGGGATATGCCCACGTTGGACCCACATCGTTCTCCAACAGTCACGTTCCGCCAACGTCTCCCACCTTTACCCAACGTTGGCTCAACGTAACGTGTTGTTTGGGATGGCTTATGCCCCAAAATATGAGGACGACTGGCATACAAGATTAGTAAAGCCTATGTGAAATTTTTTATCCTTCTCAGTATGGTTGGACTGAAAGCTGGTTATAAATACCGGGATTTTCGAAAGATCGTAGGACATTCTGCTTCCTGGGCCCTGTGGCTGGGGTAAGAGATGGAGTTATGGCATTGCTATGAGCAATGTGGCGCCTCACATGCCACCCACGTGGGTATTCCCTCGTGGATGTGATGGCTTTTCCCGTGCTTACGCTTATGCGAGGCAGCGCAGGACTGAGTTTAGCCATTCGACGATCAACGAGATCCTTGAGTATGTTCCTACAATGGGATGAACGAGATTGGGGAAGAATCATCCTTAATGCGGAGAAGGTCGTGGGATATCCGACATCCTATCTCAGTCTGAGATCCTTGCTGAGTGATGAAGCTGCCAATATTGCTCTGCATTTGAAGAAACTCCTTGGTTCTCATCATCCGCTGATAAGTACAGCAAAGTATGCGCCATTTTTGCCTATGCTACGCTAAAGTTATCTCAAGGTGTAACTAACTTAGACTAGACAAGGCATAACAGTTGAAAACTGTTGGCCTGAGCACGAACAAGCCTTGGCAGCACAATGAATTCAAGTTGGCTTAAGTGTTCACTCTTGAAAAAAAAGTGTAACTATGTCGAAGTAACCAGGTAATTAATGAAATTAGTCAGAATTATCTTCACATTACACTAGGTTCACGTTGTGGCATCCCTTTTCTAAATCATATATATGACTGCAGGCCTATTCTTTTTCTTACATTCAAAATGGAAAATTTTTCCACCAGTGAGTACATTCAGCATGTCTTAGAATTATGTGAATACTTTCAAATTCAGATGATGTTTCCTCCATGAAATGGTTTCAAAAAAATGTTTAGTGACTGTTGGATTGCATTGATATGCATGAAATATTCCAGGAACAGTGAATTTTGTGAGCATGATTCTGAATACCTTGTTGTTTCAGTTTTAATTACAGGAATCATCTGCAAGTTTTAGAGATGATGAGCTATATGGGTTTGTTCCAGAGCCCTGATGACTGGTGAAAGGGAGATGAGTCAGCTTCGTGGCCTCATGATTCTTCTTTTGTCAAAGACTGCTGGAGGATCTCAACCTCTTTCCATCCAGTGAGGTTGCCTCAGTATAACATAATGCAGATTGGCTACTCATGCTCTTTTGCAAGAATTATGAGGTTATTTTGTCCCCTATGGAAGGCAAAGGTCCTTGGCTGAAGTGGTGGAGACGATCCACCTGGCTCAACTTATTCATATGGGGATCCAAGATCAGCAAGATGATATTCCATCTGGGGATGATGCCCTTGGAAATAGGATGGCTACTCTCAGTGGAGACTACTTTCTTGCTCAAGCCTCTCATTCCCTTGCCCTTCTCAATAGCACTAAGGTCTCCTTCCCCTTGAAGTATACTCTTTAACAATAGAGTAGATTAGGTTGTACTAATGGCTGTTTTCCTTAGCTCTGATATATTTCAGGCTTGTAATATGACTACTTTAAAACTCCTATAGAACTTGGAAATACATTGGAACATCTTGAGATGTACAGGGAACAAATTACAGTAGATGCTGCTTACTGTAAATACTGATTATTGTGTCAGCAGGACAATGTGATCAAATCTTGAAAGTGAAAACAAATTCCTATATTTATTATACATTTTTTGTTTGTCATCACTTTCACCAGATATTGTTATAATGGAAAGTCTCACTACCCTATCTCAGATGTTATTGAATTGCAAAGGTGAGGTCAAGGGCATGCAATCTTCCCCAAAGTTGAAGGAGACAACTCCTGGCTGTAATGAGAGGGAAAAATGACCTTGGTTAACCTCTAGACTGAATTATTACCTGCCTGTTTTTTTTTTTAAGGGTATATTTTCCATTAAAATGCTCATGTCATTCAATATGCAAATCAACCTTTAATTTCAACAAATTTTCACAACAATATTAGTTGTTACTAGGCAGTTAATTGGTTAATGTGGTTATAAGTAGGATGACAATATTTGGATGTATATCCTGCTTCAAGGCAAGTGCCTCATGAGTGAATTTATGGTGAAATCTGTGCAAAGTAATTTTAAGCTTTTTTCAGCCCCCATCCACAGACAACTTTTGATGACCATTTTCTCCAGTAAAGGCAATTTGGTAATAAAAGTACTGAATTTTTTCAAGTTTTGTTCACTGCCATTGCTAACAACCTATTAATGTTACCAAGTACTTTAACACCAATATGATGAAAATAAGCATTAACCACTAAATGAGGTGTGGCTATTAAATAACGAGACTGGGCGCCCTGTAGGCGGTATAATTCTAGGAGCGGGGAGCACATGTGCGGTGAGTGACTTTGAAGCTTCCAGAACCTGACGAGACGAGCCAGGTTTTGTTGGCACTAGTAGTCAGTCTGCTAGCAGCGTTTGATGGGAGAGGTGCGCAATTGTCTTACCAGAATCATGGCTAATGTAAAAATCGAGCAGTGCATCAATCTCAAATTCCTAGTGAAATTGAAGAAATCGCCGAGTGTTTGAAACTGTTGCAAGAGGTGTACAGTGATAATGTGATGTCACGTGCGCGAGTGTTTGAATGGCACAAACGATTTGCTGAGGGACGAGAGAACGTTGAAGATGACGAACGACCGGGTCGCCCTGTCACGGCAACAACCGAAAAAAAAACGTTGCGAAAATTAATTAAATTGTTCGCAAAGATCGCCAATTTAGTATTCGGATGATAGCAGACATGGTGAACATTGATAAAGAGACTGTTTGACAAATTTTACACGACCAATTGAACATGCACAAAGTCTGCGCCAAAATGGTTCCCAAAGACCTCAGTCAGGAGCAGAAAGACATCTGGAAACACATGTGCACAGACCTCATGGAACGAATCACAGCAGAACCTGACCTGTTGGAAAAGATCATCACATGTGATGAGACGTGGATTTTCCAGTACGATCCTGAAACAAAGAGACAATCGATGCACTGGAAAACTCCCACGTCACCGAGAATGAAGAAGGCAAAACAGAGCGAGTCGAAAGTGAAGGCAATACTGATTGTGTTCTTCGATATCAATGGCGTGGTCATGGTTGAATGGGTACCACAGGGTCAGACAGTTAATCAGCAGTATTACCTTCAGGTTCTGGCCAAGCTGAGAGAACGAGTGAGGAAGAAGAGGCCCGAGTTGTGGAAGAACAACGCGTGGATTCTCCATCAGGACAATGCTCCCGCACACAATGCGCTGTCGGTAAAGCAGTTTCTGGCCGAAGGTCATGGTTGAATGGGTACCACAGGGTCAGACAGTTAATCAGCAGTATTACCTTCAGGTTCTGGCCAAGCTGAGAGAACGAGTGAGGAAGAAGAGGCCCGAGTTGTGGAAGAACAACGCGTGGATTTTCCATCAGGACAATGCTCCCGCACACAATGCGCTGTCGGTAAAGCAGTTTCTGGCTGATAAGAAGATCCCAGTGCTGGCCCACCCACCTTATTCGCTGGATTTATCTCCATGTGACTTTTACCTGTTTCCTAAGGTAAAATCCGCATTGAAGGGGACCCATTTCCAAACTGTGGACGAGGTCAAGGATAAAACGGCAACATTACTGAAGGGATTGACACATGATGACCTGCAGCATTGTTTCCAACAATGGAAAATTCGTCTCCAACGATGTATAGATAGGGGAGGGGAGTATGTTGAAGGGGATACCAATTAAGTTGTAATATTGTAATAATAAACACACTTTTTGCTACCAGTCTCGTTATTTAATAGCCACACCTCGTATGTCCTTAAATGCTATTTTTATGGCTGTTGGTCAGGTCTATGCAACATTTAATTTCTGGTGGTTTTACCTATGTATGGTCAAGCTGTGGAATCAAAGGAATGTAATCATAACAATATGTAGTCCTGGCTCACCATCTGGATGACAGTGATGACATGTATTTGCATTCAAGTTGCTTTTTGTTCAGTGTAAGGTGCCTGGCTCAAAATCAGCCTAGTTACAAATGCCATTTATTAAGAAATATTCTAACCATGATTGCTATAATGTTTGCTGTATCAAAAGGATAATGCTGCTCCAAACAAAAATGTATAGCTATATTCTTCAGTACTCTGCCCTAGTGACTTATGTTGCTGGTCAACTGAATTTTTACCATGTGTGCTCAGTTGTGAGAAAAGCCCAGAAGTAATTCTAAGAATTTGTGCAGGTGGTGGAGCTTATGAGTGGTGCCATTCGAGACTTTTCTCTATCTTGGTTTGTGAAGCAGCCAGAGTCTCAAGAAGAATGGGAAGAGAAGGCATATTTGAGAAGGGGGAGCCTTTTGGCTAATGGTTTTCAGGCTGCTCTTACCTTAGCAAATGCCTCAACTTACCTTCAAGCACAGGCATTTGTTCTTGGATCTCGATTGGCAGCTGCCTGGCAGGTTTGGTTTCATCATGGACTCTTTAATTCATCTAATATCATTAACACCTTGGGAATTCCTGTAGCAGCCATGAATGAACTGCATAGCTATATTCAGTCCCATTCCTTCTTGTCAACCTCTTCTGATAAATGAAAGAAACTGCACTTGTGACACAATTAGGATTGGTTGTGGTGGAGTTTTTTGTTGTTGCCATTTTGAAAAACGAAACTGGTGCTGCTTTTCATATGTGATAATTTTACATTTCAAGCATATTTCAGTTTTTTGTTGCTATGAAATGGACATTTTTTTTATGGTCCCAGCTGCTCCTGATGGAGCCTTAACATGTAGACAGCCTTATAGGTCACTGGTATCCAGTGCATAAACCTTTCCTCTCTGCCACAGATGTCTTTCATGTCCTCTCTTCTACACTAAAATGTTGGTTCGTGTGGCTGCCTCAGTTATCAAAGTTTCAGTATCCTCAGTTATTGAAGGACATCAGTATGCTTTTTTCGGCATCATTTTGAAGGTCTTTTTCCCAAATATTGTCTAGGCAATGAATGTGTTAAGCAACCAACCAAAATTCATTATCAGGATTTGGTTGAGAACAACCACACTTCCCATGTATCTCCACAGTATGGATAGTATAAATATTTTAGGCTTACACCCTGTAGAATGAATGCATTGAAAGGCATCATCTGGACTGTCTATGTGGCTCACATTACCTTTTACAAGTACCATATTAACTTGAGTATAGTGCACCACTATGTATAAGACATGCCTCCCTTTTCAGGTCCTAATTTGTGTAAGAAAAATAAAATTCCCCATGTATAAGGTGCACCCCCCTATTTCGTAGCATAATGTGTTGGGCAAGGAAGATGAGTAAGGGTTAAAGCCGATCGAACCTAGCTGCTTATTCACTGTCCTGACATTTATTGAGAGGGGGCACAGTATCCCTAACATTTATTTCATTAGCCATGGAAATGTATGGCAAAGTTATACAGCAGCAGAGAAATCAAATCATAAGAATAACATTGAGGAAAGCTGTATACAGAAGGGGATCTAGGTGAAGGCAAAATTGAGCTGGGAACTAAAGAATCTCATGGCCTTTTGTGGGGAAAAAGGGATAATGTCCAGTAATCAAGAAGAAAGTGGCAGAATATGAAAGAGTAAGTCCATACTCCTGTAATAAAATCCTCCATGAAGCATACAGTTGAAACATTTTGCTTCAATCTGGCACTGTTTGCCAGTTTTGGTCTTGATAGGATGATTTCTCTGCAAAACTAACGTGACATAGATGCGAACTCGTACAATTGCAAGAGCAAACAGGATCTCCCATTGAGAATTCAATGCATCATGAGGATGAACAGCACAATTCATGAAGCGAGTTGGATATTCTCTTCATCCGAAAACTTCAGTGGCTCAAAAATATCTATGAGAAATGATTGTCTCTGGAATGGCCCCTTGGAGGTGGATGAGTGCTCTGCAAATGAATTTTCCATGCTGTCAGACATCTCAGATCCAATAATGAAGTTCACAAATTGAAGTAGGCATTCCCTGTTTACTGTATTATTATTATAATACTATATTTCCCCTGTTCTGACTGACTACAGACACTGTTTCTGTCTCAATAAGTGACCAATGAGTTATAAGTATGCTGAAAAAAATTTTTTTTTGAAAAAGAGAATTTTTTTCCCTGAGTATAAGATGCACCCCCTCATTGAATACAATAAAATAAGCATTAAAAATGTACCTTATACTTAGATGTGCCTTATGCCTTAATGCACCTTATACTTAAAATGCGCCGGTAAATATGGTATATTCTAGTGGAAGGAATTTCACATTTTGCTTTCAAAATCTTTTCCACTTACCCTAGCCACTGATCACCTTGTTCTTCTTAAGCTAGAATTCTTTGCACTTTAATTGAGCATGATTTTGAAATGGTCTTTTTGTCTTAGTGAATCATTAGTAATCAAACCTGTTTGCAGTGGTATTCCCAAATACAAAAGAAATCCACTTAACCGGCAAGACTCTCAGGTGTGGAGTGAACCTGGTACTCCACATCATAGAACATGCCTGGAATGTGCATTTTCCTTTTGATCCATGACATTGACAGTCATTGCCCTGTCTCTCATCTTTTAGCCTAAAAAGGAAACAATCAGAATGCTGGATGTAGATAGTTGTTATTGACTGAGTTTCATCAGACATCAAATTAATAGTTGTGAATCTTAAAGTCCAATGAGTGAGGTGCTGCCAAAATGGAACTAGGGTTATTTTAATATTGTAGTGTGTCTGTAAGAAATACCACAGTATTATAGTCTCATGATGAAGGTCTTGGTGTATTTTCTTTGTTATCAAGGCAGCTGTGGAAATTTCTGCAAGGTCTACTTCTATCTCCAGTGACCCCAAAGTGAGTGAATTATGTTCCTGCATAGTCTGTGGATTCAGAGTTGTTAATGTATACATTCTATTGAGCACAAGAAAGCATTCCTCTATTTTCTTTTGAGAACCAGAATTTTTTGGACCTCTAGTTTCTCGTGTTTCATTATGCTAAGCTAGAGACAAAGGTGTTCAACCCATGAACTAAAATCAGAGTTAGTTGTCTTATGGACTCTTAAAATTTTCAATAAAAAAAGCTAACTGCAGTCTTGAAGTAAGTTAGGTAATTGTGAGTGCAGGTAAATTTTAGAACTCCCTGTGCTGACAAGGGTAAGAACTAAGAAATGGGGAGTGAAAATATCTTCCTGTAAATTTTATATGCTCTCCACAAAATATTTTAAAGCTTGCTGTTCATGTTATAGGGTCATTCCATCTCACATTGGTAGGAGCATGACCCCCTCAAATTTTGAGGAAAATTTTTTGTTGTACCCCTCATGGCCCAAAGTAAGAATGCAAAATTTTGGCTTCAGGTATGGAGCCACTTTAGCCCAATAATTTGTTAAATTTTGTGAAATAAAAAAAAAGGGGCACCTCTTCATGCAGCCAAAAAATTTTCCTTTGATTGCAGTTATGAAAAAAAAAACTGAGGAACTGGTAATGAAAACTGCATGGTTTTTATGCTTTCAAAACAACATAGAAATTGTAAGGCGGGGTCTGAATAAAAATGTGTGGTATGCATTTAAAAAAATATACAAGCTTTGAAATTGCTCTCTTCTTTTACTCAAGTAAATGGTAGGCATTCTGCAAAGTTCTAAAGTTTGTTGAACTGCATAGAAAAATGGCACCATACAATTGTAAACAGTAGTTTTTTGTGAAATTTGTGACTTGCATATTTCAAGCCATCACATCTCCTTAAGTGGAATTTGTTAGGACAAAATGGGACACATCATTAGATCTTCTTCCACTGATTCCAGAAACATATATAATGATAGGGTTTGATGAACATGTTTTGCAAATTTCTGAATATGCAAAAAATTGGAAATATTCTCAGCTTTATTTTATTCAGTATTGCCTCAAGGAAAAAAGTAAATGAAATAACTTTGAAAGTCTAACATTTCTAAAGAACTATGGTGTTTGTTGCATTTGTTCGGTTGAAAACTTTTCAGACCACATAAACATGAAGAGTTATCCCTTTTTTTAAATTTCACAAAATTTTGCATTCTCATTTTGGGCTATGAGGGGTACCACATAAAAAATGTTTGTCCATATCAGAGGGGGCCACCCTCTGGCTGATTTGAGATGGAATGACCCTTCACAGAATCAAACCATTGATACAAGCTACCAAAGTATGGTTTTTGAGTTGGATGGCTGGTGGAATGTGGCATTAGATGGTGCAGGAGGCCACCATCAAGAGGGCCTTTAAGTTGAGCAGTTACTTTTCTGGATTGAGGGATATCAGCTCCAGTTGTTTGGACATATCTGCTGCATCATATATCAATATGATGCAGCAGGAGGAGGGAGTACTCAAATGATATGTGGGAAAGTCAAATAGGAGTACTGACAAGCTTCTTATCAGATATATTAGGTAAGATATTCCATTGGAGAGGATTAAACACAAGACTTATTGACTTGCCAGTCATGACAGAAGGGGTTGGAGCTATAGACAACTAAACTATCCCTGCCATCAAGTAGTTGCTGCCACAGGCACATACAGGCAGTGAGACAGCAAAAGCTGACATTAAAAAAAGATAGAACCAGAGATATTTGGTGGTCTGGAAGGAAGCTTATGTGCTACATCCAGAACATAGTCCATAGGTTGAGCACCTGTCCTTGCATATCTTGAAGGAAACTTGCACATGCAGGAATCCGAGCATGACTTGGATATTATTTTTGTCAAACCTATTTGCTCAAATTCACAATTGAGTAACTGATACAATTGATTAAGGAAAACGTATTGACATAACCTTAACCATCAAGAAGATAGTTAATTGGGGTAGGATTGGGAAGAGCCAAGAGCCAATTCTGATTCCCTGCACTGAACATATCAAGTGCACTCCAGAACTCAGAATCCTTGTTCTTGTGAAGTCATGTTCAAAAACTGCCATAACTGTCAATCTTGAACAATACATGAGACATGCAAGAATCTCATAGTTAATGATTACTGTGAATTTCACTAAAAATGTATTTTGGCACGTATATTGCACTGAAGCAGGTTCTGGGGTCTTCAGGAAGGAGGAAAGCCTTGAAGTAAAATGCTAGGGTGCAGATGGTGCAAAACCACTGTTGAGAGTATCCTAAGGTAATCCTAATATCTTGGAGCAAATAAGATTGAAATGGAGTCCTGTTTGCATCAGGATGAGACTGGAATGACTGAACCCTAAAATAGTTGGTTTTAAATGGAATGAAATAGGAAAAAATTTGCACAATTATAAAAACCTTTATATATCCTGACATACACCTGTTATGTGGAATTATTGGCATTGATGGACTCTCTGAGAATATGTACTTCATTAGACTTGAAAACCTGACATTACTTCATATGCATGTTCTAATTGATTGCTGATGTACTTTCAAATGATTCTTGGTTGCATTTCAGGGAGAAAGTTCATTCAAAGTGGATTACAGCTTGGTACAACTGAGGATAGCAGAAGTGAAAGACATTCTATGGAGAGACTTCCCAGACAGTGATGCAAGATTAGCTTTCTGGAATGTCATGCTTGGACTCACTGGACTGGAGACAAAGAATATCTCGATATGAGTTTTGACTTTTTTTTGTCTTTAATGTTCCTTCATTTGACAGAAAGTAAAGCTGTCAAAGGAAGTGTGACATGGTGGTGTTGTTGAATCCTTCACAAGACTTTGGTAGTAGAGATGAGACGTTATCCATTGATATGACTGTCTGTGAGCATGTGGGGGGGACTTCAACAATCACTCGAGGAATGAAATATGTTGAGAAAATCAAGGAACAAGTATGCTTTCAATGCAAACTGTCCCAGCATGTAAACTTTATTTTCCTTACAAGCCCAAGGTTTATTTTCTATAGTTCTAAATGCCTTGCAACTACAACTGTCATTGTATTAGAGAATGTAATCTCAATGCAGACTGATGAAGACACTTTCTGGAGACATTTCAAAGTCTGCATTGATAACAAATGTGGGCTGGGATGAGAAAGGTAAAAATAAAAGGCCAACAGTATCACATTTACATTAGACCTATCCTGGAAGAGATAGAGCATTGTAGCCCAACTACTCAATCCTTTGGTGATCACAGATTAACCTGCTAATGGAATAGGTAGAAGCACCACAATAAAAAAAAGTGGAAACTCCATTAAAACTTTGATCCAGCTATATTCAGCCTCTAAGAATATGGCATAAAAAATAAATATTTTCTTTGTTTTAGAAGTCACTTTAAATAAAAACACAGTCTATTTTGTTTAATCAAAACTGGTGTTGCTGCTCCTGTCTACTGATGCCAAAATCACTTCCAAATCCTTTCAAAGACAAAATGACATTCAAATCTGAAGCCATTCTTTTCAAATGTTGACAGTGATGGTCTTCAAGCAGAGATGGCCAATCACGTCCATCACAAGCACAAAACTTAAGAGAAGGAAGCTGCTTCAGAAGCATGATGATGCCTTCCAAGGTAAGTTTACTTGAGAAAATGATGAGGCGTTGGAGTTGTTTTAGACCATTGAAGGACAGAAGAGAGCGACAAAAAGAATTTGTCATTTGGCCCTCTATTCCTTCTCCAATATCCAACTCTCTCAATTCAGATGCTTTGGATAAGAAGAGAAGTAAATCATCAGAATGAAAATTGCCAGAAATGGATAGAGATCGCAGCATGATAAGATTCTTCCCCCACATCCTTCCTCTTTTCTGTCCTAAATTGGAACTTTGAGATATTCTCAGTGACCTCAGCTGAGGGCAAGCACCCAAAAGTGTTGAGAAATCTACCCCTGTGCATTTTGTGATCCTCAAGGATTTCAGGTTGTTCAGGCTGAGAGATGGATGAAATGATTGTGACACATCAGCTATTTCACTAAAGGACAAGATTTCCAATTGATGTCCAATGGAAGAGAGGGACTGTAAAATGTTTCCAGGAGCATCCCTGATGATCTCCAATGACACAAGGCTCATGAAGGAGGAATCAATTAAGCCCAGATTTGCATGAGCATCTTCAATGATCAGCGACTTCAAATTTGGGAAGAGATTCCTGGCAATGCGAATCTGCTTTCCTCTTGGTCTACACAACCTCATTCTTTCCAAGTTGTATGGGTGATTCTTGGCTCCTGATGCCTGAAGAATGTTCAGGACACCTGTGAGAGAAGCATGTTCCATGCTTGTGAGACATGGAAGCTTCTCAATCAGGAATGCTATATCAATGTCCAGATGATGGTCACCAGAGCCTCCCCTCCTTAGAATTTTCAAGTCTTTGATGTCAAGTCTTCTCAGCCTCTTCAAATTCCCAAAACTACGAATGACTCCTTTTTTCAAGGTTCCTTCCTCTGCCCGGAAGGCCTCTAGATCAGAGCAGTATGAGCCAATGTTATGAATCATTTCTGAACCATTCACACAGGAAACATCCACAGACTTCAAATGCCTTAAATACTTGAAGCTGTCAGTGACACTCTGAAGAACTTCTTTCTCCATTTTGTTTGTTCCTGCATTGATGGCTCTTCCAATCTTCAAAATTTCTAGGTTCTTCAGGAACCTGAGGTTGCGGAGAAGGACTTCCAGGACTCGATCAGGGATATCAACTTCAAATGTGATGCAAGTGCAGCTATGATGCATGACCACTGGAAACATGTCCACACATCCATGCTGACTAAAAAGATGAACTACTTTCTTCATATAGTCATTGGCTAAATGAAGAGGAATGGAATGGACATAATGGTTGAGATCCACCACTCCATAGACGAGGGGGTATTTGCGGACCTCTTCGGCCAACTTCTCCGTAGCTTTGCTCACCAAGATGCAAACCAACACAAGACTCAAGTCATACAAAGTAGCTATTCCTTCACTTCCCATGGAGTTCAACACTCAACAATTTTTCACTTTCCTGAATGGATCACACATTTAAAGATGGAGATCAATATTTCAGCTGAAATTAAGAATGAAAAAACAAAAAACTTATGTCAACTTTAGAGTGGAACCTTATCATAACTAATTTATTGAATGCAGTGAAATCATTGGTTAAAGTGGCTTGACATAATGATGTCTGTCAAACTTGCAGAGTAGTTCTATAAGAAGGGTAGGCAGCTTACAAAGATGGCACAAGCCTAACTTATCAGGCTCGCACTCATAATTGGAATTTTGCATGTAACCTAATGGAAGAATTACATAAGCCAAATTCATCCACTGAGACATGTTCTGTAGATGCCTCTTGGGTCTTAACCCTTGATTGCATAATGCTGCCAATAGGCATCAAAACAAAATATGACATTTTCACAAACATAACACTTTTACCATGTTTGTGTGCTTATGCTTTTTGGCATCATTATTCAAGACCATTGCTTCTCCCAAGAAATTCATAGTGAAACATTTGTACAATTCATACAATAGTGGATTAATTATGGTCACACTTTATTTCTATTTGGGCTGTTAATATGGCATCTATATCGAAGCCATTGGCAGGCTATTGATATGCCGATACCAGTGGCAAAGCCCTCCTCCTCCCTCCCCTACATGTGAATGTGGCCCAACAGCAGACTCCCCAGTTTACTTCTGAAGAAAAATAACAGGTTCTTCTTACTTTGTCCAAGTAAAATAAAAAAACAAACAACTATTTAGTATATGCACTCAAAATTCCAGTCTGTTCACTTCACTTCATTGGAAGTGCTGGTAACACCGGTGTCCAAATGAAGATGTATGAATTCAATGGAAAATGGCTGTAATGTTTCAACTTTGGGACACTACTGTATACTAGTTCATGTTATACCTAAGACTTCAAGAAACATTAGTTCCACTGGAGTCGGTAGGCCTATAGAAAATAATTGTTCACAAAGATCGGGTGTGCAAATTCATCACAAAAACATTCATTCATGGTACTCATAGGAATAGGGTAGTGATTAGGGTTAGGCATAAGCCAAGGCCTTGTCTAAGCTACTGAATCCAAGCCAGATGGTGTAGTTAGAAAAAGTTTTTTTTTTTTACTTATTGCCTATGATGGCACAATACCTGCTTTTGATGGAATGTCAAGGATCATGATATGAGATAAATGCGATGAGAGATATTAATTAGATATTGCATAAGGTCGATTGTAGGCTAGGTCGTGGGCAAGGTTGACCTGCTCTTATACCATTTTCGAAATGTATTCGTAGGAAATGAACGGAGCTACAAACGTTGACTACTTCTGGTCGTCACAAACCAGAAGCAATAGATCCACTCCACCCCCAAGATAAATAAATATAAATAAAACTTTTGGATCCGAAACTATGGAAAACGGAGAAAGTGATACTTCCATAGAACCCCCATGAAAGCACTTATCTGAATATCACTGCCTGCAATCGATTGAAGCACTCCTAGGGAAGGGGAGGGGACAAATGCAATCTGAAAACATTGTAGGTTTCCACAATGAGCGGCAAAGGCATGGTTTTCGAGGAAGGATCTCGTCATTCCAAAGACCACGGCACATAAATAACATGGCGGGGTGGAAAGGGAATTTACAGGTCCTGAACAGGACACTACCCCACTCCCGACATCCAAGTCTCTTCCCTGCAAATTTAGCATCTTGGTCAGTCATGTTTTCTCGTGTATTCCGGGACCCCTGGTTCCACTCCTGCATCCAACAGAGAGAGGAGCCCCACAAGGCCCTGAAATTTTCACCATATTTCACAACTACTTAAGGTCGCCATGTTTCACAACAGTGGTGTCATTTCGGTCAAATTAGAGTTCCCCTCAAATGTATAAGAATGAGTGGGCTGTCACAGCCTAGGTGAAAATATTCTATAGTGATGCTATCGTATGACCTAATAGAAATTTCTAGAGAATAGCTTATATAATCCTTTTATAGGATTTCCATAAGGTTCCTATAGAAGTTTTCATAAGGTTTTGTATACAATAATTTATATACCGTAATTGTATAAAATTCTAGGTAGCGTCTTTAGAATCCTAAATAAAGTTACAGGCAAGAACCCATGCGTAAGACTCTATAGAGTTCTCTATAATATTTTATAGAATCTTATAGAAAGTTAACATTGACATCATTTAACACGCTCATTCGGGACTCTCAACGCGGCTTTAGGAAGCGTCGAAATTGTCTCACCAATTTGCTCGAATTCTACGATTGGGCGACGGAAGAGAGGGATAAGTGGAATCCTGTGGACATCGTCTATTTAGATTTCACGAAAGCTTTCGACATCGTTCCTCACAAGAGGTTGCGGGTTAAACTGGAGGCCCATGGGATCCAGGGTAGGACGAGCGAGTGGATCAGTAGTTGATTGGCAGGAAGAGAGCAACGAGTGATGACCCAAGTAGCGCAAAGGTCATAAGTGGCCCAGGCACTACACTTGTGGATTTCTGCCGGGGGCGCGAACGTGGCGGCAAGTTGGACACGCAGTTGCTGGCCCGTTACCTATTGTAGGTAGGAGGTGGTAGGTAGGTAGGTGGCCCACTACCTACATTTCGGGAAGAGAGCTGGTGGCCCACCAACTTCACAGGGATGTGAGCCACTAGTTACATGTCCCACTTGCCAGCACTGGTCCGCCACCTTCCGGGCCGCTAAAGGGCTTGCACATTACCAGTTAGCTCGTTTGTGGTGCACCACCAGCTGGGAAGGGACCTAATGCCTCCATGTATATCTGAATCACCTATAAATCACCTATAAATATATATAATCTTGGTCCTGGAGCCTACTCAGAGTATCCTAGAGTACCAAGATGACCCACTACTCTTTCGCATCCAATATGGACCACTGGGGGGGGGGGGGGGGGGAGCAGAAGTCTACGAGTACCAAGACATATCATATACAGGGTGACCCAAAAGTCTCTTACTATTTTTGGAAAGGAGGAATGGTAGAAAGATGA